ATTGAGAATTAACTTTTTGGGAATCTTAGACAACAATCATTTCACAAATGAGCAGATATATTTCATGAGTCTTGAAGGATAATTGCGGGATAAAAACAATTCTCAAGTTAATTTTAATCGGTAGTCGATCATTGACTCTAATTGATGCAGCTTTATTTTAATGAATGTAAACTGTATAAACCCGGGATATATTTGACAAGATTTTGTCAACTTGTAATTAGCTCACCTCGCATGGCGGCGGTGCGCTCCGGTATGACGGCACGATTTTGAAAGTGATTGACCCTCTCGCATCACGCTGCGAATTCAAAGGGAAAATCAAAATTATTTGGCGAAACGAAAGCAGTGAAATGGCACAAATTTTAATCTCTTCTCCCTTCTTGATGCACCCTTATCGAATCCGCGATTTTCGTCGCGATCGGCTAGGTGTCGCCTGCTGAACATTAGCTCGGTTTCAAGACAGTTTTTCTTTTTAAAATTGATGAGTCACTTTTCCGGTACTTCGGACTTGTAATATTTCTTGTTGGTCTTCGATTCAGGCGACATCTATTTAATTTATCACAGATTCGGAGGATCTGTGCAACTGAGAGGCCACTCTATCGTTGAAAAGTAACGTTCGTCTTTCGGTGTTTTTGATTTGGCTTGATAGGTGTCGCTCGAGTCTGACAAAGCTTCCTTATCAAGCCTGATGTTCTTCAGAAAGATGTAGAATTGTAGATGGTTTTTTTTTTGGAAACTCGATGCAAATTTCTCTGTCTTTCGAACACGGTTTTGATTGAATGTAGTACTGTTCTTCCTAGTCCTCTATTTTTTAAAAGGCGACACCTGTCGAACAATGGAGGAAGTAAGAAGAACCAGAAATTCATTTTCACGGATAATGCTGTAAAAGGGAAGAAAAGTATGCACATTTTGTTGCAGAAAATGGGCAAAAGAATCTACAACAGGCTTCAGTGACCGAGAGCCAAAAAAAAGAAGAATGTTGCTCAAGCAGAAAAAAGAGTATCTGGTCAACATTTCTTTCAAAAATTCACTGGGTTTTTTTTCACAAAAAAAAAGCGTAAGTGGAAAAATATTGATTTCACCCACGGAATAAAAAAGTAACTTGAGAAATCTTAAAATTAAAAAATGAACTTACAATCTCCAATATACAGTATTTTTCAATTGCCAAGTACTGTGCAACAAAATTTGAAATGTGAATAATTATTCTCTTCAGCAGGAAACATTGACCAGATACTTTTTTCATCATCATCTCAACTGATTTCAATCTCATCAATTTCAACAGCTACAAATTCTATTAGAATAGAATCTCCATTATTCAAAATAATTGTCAGGATTCTTTTGCTTGATTGATAAAATAGTTCAGGACAAAACTTTTTATTTTTGTAATTGAAAATACCTCACTTATCAACAGCAGGACTTCTTCAAAGCTTTGTAATTGTCAAAAACCAAAATTGCAGGCGCAATCATTGATTTCTACTAATTGATTTTGTCATGTTTACAATTACAGGGATGTTTGTTCTCCAAATTGATTCAATCACTTGTGCCTCATTATCACTAAATAGCCAAAGGAAATCGATTTATGGTTTTTTTCCTGGCATTTTTAAACACTTCCTCAAAATAGTTGAAGAACAATGGAAAAATTTAATGAAAAAACTGATGCCAGAACTGGAAAAATTGCTCGAAATAAAAACAAGCAAAAATTAGGCACAAATGATATAGTCCATTCAAGGTACAAGGCTGACAATTACAGATTTATTTTATTCTGTAAAAACTCTAATATTATCTTCAGCAGGGCAAATGTCATGGTTTTGCACCTGGCCACACTGCACCTGGCCAAACAATTTTTGTCATACTTTTTCAGTTTGAAAAACCCCTTGAAATAATTATGTTAATGGATTTCCAAAAGCCAGGGTCAGTTCCATTTTTTTTGTGAAGTTCCAAATACATTTCACGATAATATCTTCAAAATTTGATAAAAATTGCCAATGGAGATTCCATTTCAAAGCAGAGTTTCTCAACCTGGTTGACTTCAGGTGCCCTCTTTCATTGCTTAAAAAATTAAATTATATGATGATGGATCACCTTCTTGGATCAATACATAATTCGTCACAAAGGGACCCGCGGAGCCCCTTATTGGGCCCCCTCATACCACAGATTGAGAACTTCTGCAACTAAAGTACAGTACAAAACTGCATTTGAAAGATGAAGAAGAAGAAGAAAAAAAAGTAAATAGAGAGAGGGGAGAGAAAGCTGAAATGCTACCAATCAACTCAGCTCTGTGTAGTTGTTTATACAGTATATCTTTCTATATATATATGCAGCATTTAAAAAAAATGTATTCACTACATCTATGAATTTACCAGCATTCTTTGCAGGGCTTCCACGCTTTGTCCAGCCACTGAAATGCCATTGATTTCTCGGATCTCGTCGCCCACGTGCAACGTTGCTTGCCGGTGTATCATGCCGCCATGCATTATCCGCGCCACTATACACCGGCCAGTCTCGTCCAGCTTCAGAGTAATGCCCTGCATTGAATTGAGCCACAACAAAAAAATGAAAACAAAATCAATAACATAAAAGTATACAGTATATACACTGTACTGATCACTGATTAGCACTCTTACAACAGAAAAAAAATAGCAAAAACAAGGCTTACTTGAGTTTTGTGTTATAAGTTATAAGTTATAATACTGTATATAAGTTATAAGCTAGTTATGTTATAAGTTTTGGTAATACGTTTTGTGGTCTGTGCATAGGGTATTATTCTTTTATTTCTGGCAGAGTCTTGACTCTTGGGCAGTGGTGCCAAAATTTATCCCACACAAGGAGCAAAAAAAAAAGACAGAAAAAAGAATAGGTGAAATCTCAAATTTTCTTGGCATTCCGGGAAAAAAAATGTTCATCAAAAAAGAAAGAAAGTTACTGTTGGGTTGCATTTTTTCTGCATTCCTGCCATAGGATTATCATTGAGGGTTTACCGACAGTTCGTTACGGACAGTTCGTTACTGCGACATTTCGTTACAGCGACGTTTCGTAACAGCGACTTTTTGTTACAGGACAATTCGTTACAAGACATTTCGTTACAGGGACATTTGGCTACATTGACTTTTTGTTACGGCGACATTTTGTTACCATTTTATCTTTCGTTACTTGTAACGAAAAAATTAATATATTATGATCCAGTGCTTGATTTCATGTCTTTCATAGGAATATTCATGTTCATTAATAGAAATGGGAAAACATTTATTCATGGGAATAATGCAGTATAATTGCAATGAAATAAATACTGAAGAGGGGGTTTTAAGAATAGGGATTGTGAGGGAACTATTGAGAATAGAGCATAGCATTGGGCAGGGATGATTCAGACAGATCCATCTTCATCTTCAGTGATGTCTTCTTGGACTGGGAGGTATGCGCGACTGACACTCCCGCAGCTTTTCAAATACTTCAGAATTCCATGGGCCCAAGGATCATCTTCATCTGTTGACTCGTTCTTGATGTCATCAAACCTGTTGATCAATGTTACCAAC